ACGTCACCTAAGGTTCTGTAAAGACCTGGTGGAGAGGAACAGAAAAGGGTCTTCAGTTCAGATGATTCCTAAAACCAGACACTCTTGCAAGCCTGCCCTGGCATGGAGGCAGATTTGTTGGCAACCGTCTTCTATCAGAGACTGGCTTCTGTCCCCAAAATGAACATTAAGCGTGCATACCTCGCGGGATGGAAAAGTTGAGTTTCTGAGAACAATCAATAGGGTTATATCTTTGGCCTGTCTCAAGTTCTTTGATGTGATATAAAAACAATAATGTGCCTGGGAATGAACTCATAAACAGTTCCTCATTTTATAGCATAATAAAAGTACGGTAAGATTGAGTTAGGATTTAGGCAAAGAATTGGGCTGGCAGTCAGGACATCTGGCTTTTCTTGCCCACTTGCTCACTGTGTCATCTTTAGTAAATCACAGGTGGCTCCTGACCTCAGTTTCTCCACCAGTGAAGTCTGACCAGCGTTGGCATGGCACGGTAGGTAAACAGGTAGCAATAACAATTGCAGTATATAGTGAAAGATGACTGCGCGCTAGGCTCTCTTCTTGACCTTGGGCTACATCAATGAGCAGAACAGAAAAGAAAAAAAGAATTTTTGCATTCATGGAACTCATACTGTCATGAGGTAGAAGAAATAAACAATACACAAAATAGGGAAATTATTTTGTACGTCAGAAATTGAAAGGTGCTACATTAAATGGAAAACACAGAGCAGTTAAGGTGGATTTGGAGCAAGAGAATGGGTGGGAGCAGGTACAAGCTCTGGGGAGGTCTGGATTCCAGCTTTGGCTAATGATTCTTCACATTCATAACATGTAAATAACGATGTACTCAGGTCACAGGTTGCTGTGATGACTCAATGAAGCAAGGGAAGAAAAAGCACTTAGCGTCCAAATGTTACTATGACTGTCCTCATTTTCTAATCTCAAATGCTTTAACTCCAGAATCATGATTCTCAGGTCACAAGCGCTGTAGAGACAGGGGGCCATATTTTAAACTCACAAAGAAACCAAGGCTATGGTTTAGTCCAGGTGGTTTGCTTCAAGACACGGCCAATTACGGAAATAAAAGCGACGCTTGCTAAAACCGGAGTGTCTCTTAAGATTCACACAGGACAGACATCTGCAGGCTACACTTTCAGTTCCAGCGTAAAAACAGAACAAACCAAAAAGAAAAAAAAATAAAAAGGATTTATCAATTTTAAAACAAAGCTTTTATATTTTATAACAGGCCTAACGAGCCTCCAGAGGCTGGCTCTTCTGAGAATGACACATCTGAACAATAATCAGAAAAGGTAAAATTGCCTCCTCTGGGTACTGACGTTAACAGATTTGACTTTTCCTTTGTCGTGCCAGGAACAGAGCACTTCTGGCAGAGGTGTGAATTGCAGTGCATCACTTGCAGAACTGCTGACCTCTGTGGGAAATGTTTAAATCCTTTGATGTTACTTATTGTTGAGCAAACAGTATCGCTGGCACTAAAAACATTTTGGGTTTATACCTGTTTCCATCAATCTTTATTCAATGGCATTATCATCGCTCGCCTATTACAGGTATTTCTCAGCAGAGGTTTCCTGAAAGGGCAGAGGACTGGAGGGAGTCTACATTGAAATGACCAAAAGATTTTGTTGCTTCTCCCCTGCCCTTTGCTTATAGAGGTCATAAAATCACTCATGGGAGATGACTTTTTTTATTAGAAAACAGTAAAAGTAGCTCTTCCTGGTCTTCCCTCTGGATTAGGTAAATGCCACACATCTTGAGGCTGGTTACCAAAAAAACCCAGGCCATATTCATTCATTCATTCATTCATTCATTCATTCATCATATGTTGAGTGTTTGTATGTTCCAGGTGCTGTGTGGGTGGGCACAGACATAAAACCTAAGAGCTCACGAATGCAGGGAGAGTCTTCTGCCTCTAAATGTGATGCTGGGTTGTCCAGAACCTAAAAGAAGTTCACTCCATTAACTTGGCAGAGAACTTGGCCTAGCTTCCCAAATGCTGCTGGGAAAGCTGTGCGGCCAGGACTTTCAAAGGCCACCAGCTCCCAGAGAGGATCAGGGAGCAGTCTGGGGGGGAGTGGGCTGGGTGCCACGCTGGGCGCAGCAGGATCATTAAGTTCACTGACTGCTCGCAGGGGAACAGGCTTAATGGGCCAGAATCTTCCTGGAGCTCAACTAAGTCCCCCAAAGAGCATGTTAATTGGTTTAGGCAAGTTTATTTCAACTCAGCAAAACTTTCTGAAGGGACTCCAGAGAAGCAAGTTGGGCCCATCTGTGCAAGAATGAGGACTAAATGTTCTCCATCTTCAAGGAGCTTACAGTCCAAGTCATACGAGCCAAGTGCCAAGTTTGGAGCGGGGCCAGTCAGAGCTTGACCTCTAGCTCACTGAAACATCGAAGCAGCTCTGTGAGAATGGACGATGAGACTGAGGGTCAGAGAAAGGACGTACCTTGGCTAAGGAGGTAGCAAATTATAGCCTGTTTAGTCTCCAGATCACCTCTTCAGGCTCTCTCAGAACTGGGTCTCCAGATACAGGCTTGACTCAGCCTAATTTCTGGCTCACAGGATTCATGCGTATGTAGTAAGAAGACAGAAGAGTTCATGTATAACGAATGCTTACTTTGTGCCCAGCACTGTCCAAAGTGCTGTGTGTACCAAGTATTTTGTATTTATTATTTCATTTAATCCTCACAAACCGTCTGTATAGGAGGCACCATTATCATCCTCATTTAGCACATGAGGGAACTGAGGAATAAGGAGATTAAGTTTCTAGCCAGATTTCATACACTCAACAACTCGATGAACCAGGATTCAAATCCTGGCAATCTGAAGACTGCTATTCTTAACTACACAGCTGCCTGGGAAGAGTTCTTCCAATTTTGGGAATATTGACGATTGATACCAAATAAATATTTCAGCAATGGAAATCCTAGCAGAATATGGGTAAGTCATTATGGTAGAAGATCTAAACCCAAAGCATCAGACAGTCTATCCTTATCAGAAACTCAGGAAAGCCTTCTGTTGTCTGCAAGCCGGCTTCTTGCATGTTTCTTTAAATCTCAGACTTGAAAGGCCTTCTATCCACCCATCTGTCCATCCATTCAACCGTTCAACAAATATTTATGGAGGGTCCGTTATATGCTTTGCACTGTAAAAGTTGCTGGGAATATAAAGCTAAGTATGTACATAGTCCTTGCCCTCAAGAAAGTCATCATGGGGTTGTGGTGGGGAAGAAGTCTGGTAAAAAAGTAATTTCAATCCAGTAGTTTCCATGTTGTAAATGACAGAGAAGCAACATTCTAGGGGCACAGAGAGGATGAAGATAGGAGGGCCAGCTTGGGGAAGTCAAGACCATTTAGAGGGGGTGATGTGTAAGCTGTGGATGAGAGCTGCTTAAAGGAACATGGCAGCTTTGGGGCTGTGTGTGTGTGTGTGTGTGTAAAAACTGAGGAATAGTGAGAGGGTGAATGAGTGGAACATTCCAGAAACCCCTGGCAGCATTAGGAGTGGAGGACACTGGACTAGAAATGAGAAGAACTTGGGTTTTCCTCCTGGGCCTGGCATACATGGAAGTATGACACTGGGTGAGTCACTCTGCCTTTCCAAGACTTACTTTCCTCTTCTATTAGCCAAGAATATTGATAGAAGGTTTACCTCTCACTCACAGGGATGTGACTGAACGTTTACGAAGCTTTAAGAACATCTTATTAATACAAATTATTATGATTATAAACAAATTTATCCTCTCCATTCCCCAACTGTCCCTCAGCATATAAGGTCAGGTCTCAACCTTAAGGGAAAGAAAGGTGACCCATGACTAAGAAGTAAGACTTAAGAACAATGTATCTCCTGCACTAGGAGATGCCCAGATTGTTTTCCCTCCGGCTTCTTTATGTCTTCCCAAAGTCCATTCCACACTTTATCATTAACTAGTGCTCCTTTTGCCTTTTACCTTTGGCCTTTTCTCCCCATCCTAACTTCACAGTGGACTTTTAGATCTGCCCTTCCCACTTCCCCAGGCACCATTTTCATTCTTTTTGCTCCTGAGGCATTGACTATAACGACTAAAGGTTGAAAATCTACAGCAAGCTCTGGGAACTTCACGAGTTAACTTGGGGTAGGCTCTGACTCTCCACTAAGCATTTTAGGATGAAAGCATTCAGAAAACAAACTCCCATATCCTCTCTCTGGTTTCCCCCTTCATTACAGACACTAGTACATCCAGGGTTCCCCTACGGGGAGACATCTATGGGATAAGACACTATGCACAGCTGCCCGACTACGACCAGTAACGACTGCCATCTGAGGTTCAGAGACGAAGCCCAATTATCTACATTTATGGCATCAGATGCTTCGCTCCCTTCTAGTTATGGGTACAGAAACACTACACCTCCTCCTGGGATGAAATCTGTCTGTGAGAGGAGAAATAGAAATCTGCCACATAGGAAAGGGATTTAAAAAAGAAAAAGAAAACAGAGAGTAACTGGCCTGGAAAAGAAGTGTTTTATAATGGCTGCCTCAGCATAGCTGAAAAGCCGCTAAGGAGGTAGAGGAAGACAAGAGGAGTAGGGGGTAACAGTGATAATGACAGCCCACGTTTACTGAGTGCCCACGTGGGCCAGGCGCTACGCTGAGCCCTTTACTTGAAATGATCATGCAGTCCTCACAACAGCCCTATGACACAGACACTATTCTTGTCCCAGCTTTAGAGATAAGGAATAAAGAGGCTAAATGACTTACGCAAGGGACTGCAGCTAGTCAGCGATGGAAGCAGGATTCTGGCCCAGACAGAAATATCAGACACACGGCTGCCTAGACCAGCTACCCATCAGGATCATTTTGGGGAGCTATTCAAACTCCTGATTCCTGACCAATCCAGAGAATATGTGGGATCAGAATTTCTGGGCATGCCGTTTGGGACAATGTAGTTTCCTAAAAGCTTCTCCTGTACTTCTGATGTCCAGCCAGGTTTGAGCACCTCAGGAAGACACACGCTCTGTATGACCTGAAGGGACAGATCCAGTAGCAATAGAGGGATAGTGCAAGGGGCCAGGCTTCAGCTCAGGGGAAGGCAGGGGCTTCTAACAGTCAGGGATGCCCTGAGATGGCAGGTGCTGCTGTGGGAGTGCGGGTGCTTTCTCAGCAGTGGGGCTGGAAGATCACTTAGTCAGCACAATAAGAACATGGTGCTGTTTAAGTCATTTCCAATCTCAATAGTCTATGATTTCCAATCATTCATTCATTCAACTGATATTCACTGAACATAGACTACAATCCTCCCTTGGTATATCCATGGGGAATTGGTTCTAGGACCCCTGCAGATACCAAAGTCCATGGATTCTCAAGTCCCTTATAGAAAATGGTACAGTATCACTGGCCCTCCACATCCACAGTTGGTAGAATTCGCAGGTGTGGAACCTGTGGCTATGGCGGGCCTACTGCGCATGGCGGGTCCTGTACCAGGCACTGCCATTCTACTAGCGAATATAGAAGATGAGCTCAGTTTTCATCTGCCTCTCTGAATCCTGCTACTTTGTAGTTTTTTTTAATTTGAAGTAGCTGTGAAAAGGTGGTCCTGTACCACAGCTCAGAATACACTAAGGAGATGTCTTTTGTCCTAAGTTTTTTCACTATTGATTCATCCCTCTATTTAGCAACTGCTTATTGACTGGCTACTTGCATTATTAGATGATGCTACTTACCCACCCAAACTTGTGCTCTCTGCTCCATATACCTTTTCCAGGAGTAGCTGCCCAGCCAGGGACTACATATTGTAGCATCTCTTGCAATTACGTGACCATGTGACTGAGTTCTTGCCACCAGACCATGAACAACAATGCTGCACACACCTCTAGACCAGGTCCATAAAAGCTTCCCCTGAGGCACTCCTTCATGCTCTTCTTCCTCTTGGCTGCGTTGAATGGAGAAAACCCCTAGGGAGCCTTTGAAAGCCAGTTATTAATGATGGCGGAACCTCTGCTGGCCTGGGTTGCTGAATGAGTGCGTGGATGAGGGCCATCCTGCCTACCTGACAGACCTGCCTAGGACCACTACCCACGCAAGAATAAGAATCTATAGTGTTAAAGCTTTCATACATTTCTTTGGCTGATGTGTTATAGCAATTAGCCCACATTTATATAGGACTGTTAGCAAGACTGACTTGGTTCTGTGTCTCAGAATTTCTGTGTCTCAGAATTTGCAGCTGCTTTGGGGAGGCAAATTACAATCAAGGTGCGACAGGTGAGCTCCCCAATAGTAGCATAACAGGGGCATTTAAACCATCTTCCTAGGAGATCAGAGAAATGCCATCCCAGTGGAGACCTAGAGGGTAAACCAGAGTTCATCAGAAGGGGAGAGAGGAAGGTTGGTCCCATCAGAGCAAAGCCTGGGGCAAGAAAGAACATAGGATGTTTGAGGAAATGGAATAGGTTCAGTAGGGCTAGAGAGTGTCAGAGTGCAAAGCTGGGGAGTGGTAAGGGATTGCTGGAGGGTTCAGATCATCTGCATTTTGGGCAAAGGAAAAGAAGACTTTTTGCGTTCAGAGGATGCAGCTTCACGGGAGGAATACCTTCCGAGACAGACTGTGCTGTAGGCTTCCCCTTTTTTGTTCCTGCTGAGCCTGAAAGCTCGAAGTGTGTGCCTGCGTGAACGTGTGTACGTGTGTGTGTGCGCATGCAGGTGGGAGGTGAAAACGGGAGGCAAAGGGAAAGAGGAGGAATAAAGTTAATTCAGTCATTTTTGAACTGAGTCATATCAGAGACCCATCAGAGAGGAGGGTGTTGCCTCTCTGGGCGGCGCCCGCCGATGCTGGATGAAGGCCACGGCGCCGGGAGATTTGTGCTGTGGGATCACCAGCTCTGGCAGGCTCAACAGAAATGAAGAGGACCAGCCCAATTCCAGTTGAAACAGACAATATTGAAACCCTGCCAGGAAGAGTTGGAGCAATATTTTGCAAACTTTAATAACGGCTCAGAGAACCGATCAGAGCATTTGGCTTTGCCATGCATTATTCCCTAGCAGGATCCATGCACTAGCAGAGAGGAATAAATCTATTTTTTTCTCCATTTGCAGAGAATAATATTTTTCTTCCTTCCAAACAGAGAGGAATTCGGTAGAGTCTAAATGTGTTTGTTTTGTTCCTTATTTCAACTTCTCTATAAATCACCCGTGGGGGTTCTGGCACCCACTGTTAAGGTAGTCGGTTTACTGCCTGCAATATCTTCTCTTATTGGAAACTGTATGTTCTAAAAACTGGAACTTTCTCTAGTTGGAACCTTAATCTGTAGCTCTGATGTCCCACTTGCCAGGCACTGACCATAAGAATTAGGTAGAAGTTTTCTGGATTGCCCTGAAGTGGGAGAATTCTGTACATTATTCTCTTCTGGGACAAGAGAGACAGCCTCCTGGATCTATGTGGCAGAAAGAGCATGAGATGGCTTTGGAATTTGAAATGAGGTCAAATCCAGATTTATCATGCAGGACTTTGAAGAAGTGGTTTAAGCACTCTGGGCCTCAGTTTTCTCTCACCTGTAGAATGAAGATGTCCCTAAACTCCCAGCTAAGTTAGAAAGATGATAGAAGGCAAAGTGTGCCAAGTGCTTGGGATGGTTCCTGTCTTTGAGGAGAATTCTCTCAAATAGCCAGTCCCATTGTCTTCTTCCTCCTTCAAAAAGCAGAGAGAAGAAGTTGTGAAGCCCTGGACAGCCACACAAAGACTTGTTTCCAGGTTAGCACAGGAACGTGGGGAGGGGGGATGTGGGTTTGTTAGATGTTATGGGGCTTCCTGTAGGGAGAAGGGCAGCTAAAGAGTTCAAAGGACAAGGCAGATCCAAGCACATAAGAACCTCCTAGAGACTGCAAGCTCGTTATTAATAGAATCGGGTCCCTCGGCAGTGTTGCTCAAATTTGGCTCAACTTCAGGACAAATTTGGCCTCCCTTTGGGAATAATGTTAAAGACAGACGGACTGAGATCTTTTTATCTTAAATATTTTACAAAGGAAACAGAACTAGGAGAAAGTTGTTGGGGAGAACAGAGAGAATATTTTCCTTGTGGTGGGACTGGTGATTCCCTGGTTGTTTTTGGTGAGGAGTCTGTACACCAAAGGGATTGGAACATTCTTTTTTATTCATTAGTCTTTACTAGGATTCTGTTTCCTTAAAAGGCCTTCCGTGGCTCCCTCTCTCCCCAAAGAAAGCACTGTCTACCTCCTTATTTTGCTTCATGTTTGCCATAATATGTATCATCATCTGAAATTACACATATAGATTTGGTTTTGTGTTCATAACGTGTCTCCCCCAGTGAAATGGACCTGTGATGGCAGATTTTGCATCTCTCTTGCTACAGTGCACAATGCCTGATTCAGAAATATTTATTGAATGAAATAATGAATAATATAACACATATTGTATGTACTGGATTGCGGCTTTTATTTTTAGGAGTTACGAGGATGATTAAGTGAAAACAAAACTTAATTATCGCTATAAAACAAAACATGAAAAATAGATAAATATAGCCATTTTTTTCTTGATTTATAAGAACTTTGGAAGCAGAATGGATTTTTATCCACTTTTTCTTATATAAGTATCCTCAAAAAGTTCAATGTTCGGCCAATGAATTCCAAGTTACGTTTATATAAATACGCTTACGTTTTCAATTCATCCCATTTCCTAGTAATCAGGAGCTATTATCCAAATAAGCTGTCATTTCTACCATCATTTATCTTAAACCCTGTTCAACTGTCTCAGGTGTATAAACCTTACATTTTAAGGTCCGTCAGATGTCACTCTCAGCCTATTAACAAATAATGTATGTATTATAAACAGTTGAAATAAACATGATGACCATAAATCTATTTTTTCACATGTGTCTTAGTGTCTACAGGGTTGAAACCTTTTGATAAAAGAATACTGATTTCTCGTCAGGCAATCAGACGTGCTCACTACAAAGTGAAAGGGACCTCAGCAGCGGGAACGGGACAGCTTCACAAGATACACTGCAGAGTAAAATTCATCCCACCCTCAGCTGTTGGGCCATATCTGAAGAGCGGATGGTGGGGGCGGGGTGCTGGCACAGCTACGGGGGCAACCCCGACTTCAGTTAGTGCCATGACAGCTCACCTGGGAAACAGACAGACAAACATCCAGAAGTCACGACTCATCTGGGACTCCCTCCATCTCTCGTAAGGTGGGATGTGTTAAGTGCTGTCTACCACGCTCCCTCCTTTCTGCTCTGCCGAAAACAAACAAACAAAACGAAACAAAACAAACCCAGAGGAGCCTGTGCTGGGAAGACAAGGTAAAAGGAATCGCAGACCTTTGACTCTGGAGGAGGCATCCTCCGCTGTGGACGATGTGACCACCACAAACAAATCCCTGTGAGCCTCTGCATGCTCGATCAGGGTTGCTGGGACAGGAGCTAAGCTGATGACACAGTTCTGGGCACTGGGTTTAAGTCCTCAACCAAGGAATGCTAGCAATTATGAAGAAAGCTCTGTTTGGTGACTACTTCCTACCCTTCACCGATTCCTCCACAAATTCCTCACCGCAATGAAATCTGTTTTATGAAAAAGTTGAAGCAGAAAAGCTCCACTGAGCAGTAGCGTCCCGCTTGCAAGCGAGTCCTGGCAAAGACTGGGGAAGCCGGCAGTCATGCTCCTTCACAGCATTACAGCAATTACACCCTGCGTTATTAAACTCCGTGGTATCCTGTTCAACTGGCGAAATAGTAAGAATTAAATACGGCCCAAATAGTAGCATTTCCCCTCATCCGTGGAAGAGTGGCACTCAGCAATGAAGCTCTCCAGCTAAATTGCCAAGTGCGAGACCTAAATTTAGGATGGGGCAATTCTGAAACAGCTGATTACTGCATCTAAGATTATGTGTGTTCTTGTGAACTGTTGAAACTGATGAAATAAATATACAATGGTAGATTATTACAGACACAGTTATGGGAAAAAACCTTGCCTGGGCTGTCCTAGAATGGTTCTGGCATTGCTATATGAAAAGATTATTGAAAAGTGATTGCAATTCATGCCTACAAAAGGCACCACAAACAATATCCAACATCCACAAAAGATTTGATATAGGAACTGAATGGAACAACTTAGCTCATTATCAAGTTTGATCCTGAAGATGGGAAGCCAAGTTTTAGGAGACTGGGAACCTCTCCTGTTTCACTTGGTCAAAAAACAAAAACAACAGAAAAATAGCAACAGTGGTTCACAGCACAGAACTAACAGGGAGACCACACAAAGTGATAATGCAACAGGCAGAAATGTGCCTTCTTGGTTTCTCATCAGTTCCTGAGAAGGTCAGAGGGCAGAACAGATTAGTATTTGTGTTTTGGCATAAGATGGACTCACAGCTTTGTCACTTTTGAGCTGTGTATATTAGACAGTCTCTTCTCTTCCCTAAGCCATATTTCCCCATCAGTAAATTTAGAAAGGCAGTCACAGAACCTTCTTCATAGGGTTGGGATGAACCTCAGGATTAAATGCTTATATGAATGATTCCATTCAACCCCTCCACTAACTCCACTGTAAGTGCTCTGTAAATGGTAGCCACTTCCCATAATTCCATTCTGCTTCTGCAACTTAAAAACCTTTGTGAATTTTGGGCAAATTACTCAACTTTTAGATAGAGCTGTCTCCTCATATGAAAAAAAAGGGATGATGATTAATGATTATATCTACCTAACTGAATGGTTGGAAGAAATGAATAATTTATGTGCAGTGTGCTTATCAGACGTACAGTAAGCCTTCTGTGTGTTAGATGCTATTATTACTAGTACTATGAACACTGCAACTATTTTAAGAATCAGTCAAGTCCATGATAGGGGACTGGAGGGAGCAATTCATCCTGGGTTGTGGCCCAAATAGCTGTGTCTTATCAGACTGATGATATGATGCAAACCGTGGACTAGCTGCTCCCCTCTCCAGCCCCATCCGTGATCTGCGGGTGTGCCAAGGGGAGCCAGCTGAAGACTTATCACAAAGCCGCTCAGAGCCTCTTTCCACTGAGGACCCAGAGGGTGGGAAGGAAGAGGCAGAGGCCAGAATCTCTTAGCTCAGGCCTCCTAGTTTTGTAGGGCCTTGATCAGAACTTTT